AATCTTACCAGTCCAATATAGAAACAGTACGACTAGATCAGAATTTCTCAAAACAATTTAAGACCGAGAGAGGTGTTAGACAAGGATGTGTGTTGTCTCCTGACTTATCAAAATTTATGGTGAACATGTCATGAGGATGGCTTTAGGTAGATGGGCCGGTGGAGTAACAGTGGCTGGTAGGAAAATCTCTATTTTAAGAGTTGCTGATGATACTACACTTATAGCAGCAAATGAGCAATAAATGTTTAATTCTCGCGAAGAATTGAGTACGAAAGCAATAAAATTGGTCTAAAAATCAATAAAGCTAAGACAAAAATAATGATAGTCGACAGATTCCATACTATTCAACTGACTAACATGTTACAAGAATACCAGATAGTGGACAGGTTTGTCTATCTCGGGGCTGGTATAACTAACGATGGTAACTGTGAAGCAGAAGTTCGGAGACGTATTGGAATGGCAAAAAATGCGATGAGTTGCCTTACTAAAGTTTGGAAAGATATATCTATCTCTTAAAATATCTAGATGAGACTGATGAAAACCCTTATATTCTCAATATTTCTATACGGGACAGAGACTTGGACACTTCGCGGACGCGAGCACCAAAAAATTGATGCCTTTGAGATGTGGTGCTCGAGAAGAATGATGCGCATACTTTGGAAACCTCATAGGATAAACATATTCATTTTACCGTTTTAAACTAACTCGAGATTAAAAAAAGGTTGTCCACAATGTGTTTGCAACGTATTCTGCAATTTTTTGGTCACGTGGTTCGCAGAGATGACAATAGTTTGGAGAGATTAATTGTTTCTGGAAACGTTTCTGGAACGGGGAGAAGATCAAGACGACGATCACTAACTAGATGGTCCGACCAAATTAAAAATTCAGCTGGAAACTTATTCTACGAAGCTCTCAGAACAGCTGAAGATAGAGACCAATGGAGAAAAATTGTTAGGAATATTGGAAGAAATCACGATCCTCAGTAATGGTGAAGTGACCAGAGAGAAAGAGAGAGAGAGAGAGAAAGTTTTTTGCATCTTTCCTTATTGACGGTCTATTGAGAAAACTTATCCGGTTGTACATCATATCTTGGATGTAGGTTCAATGCACATTCTGATGGTTGTTCTGAAGTTGAATTAGTGATATAACATCATTAGAATTCCACAATTATTGTCGTTTTATTCGCTTACTTAAAAACCAAGAATTTATTGCCGCAACATCTTTCTTGTGAAAGAAAATCAGTGATATTTACCATTTGTTGATTTATACTCTGATTGGATATAGCCCCAATAAGGAATCCTGTATATCTTCTTTCTTATATGTCATCATCATCATCTTTGGCTCGACAATCTTCTGTGGATCTTGGCCTGCTCTAAGATTCGTCGCCATTCTGTTCGGTTTTTGGCAACATGTTGCCATCTTCTGATTTTTAATATTCGTAGTCGGTTTCAACTCCATCTAACCACCTAATTCGCGGTCGGCCTTTGCTTCTTTTTCCTACAGGTGTTCCTGTGGTTAGCTTTTTAGCAATCGTATTTTCTGGCATTCGTATTATGTGTCCAGCCCATCTAAGTCGCTGTGTTTTAATGAACGTTATGACATTTGGCTCATCAAAGAGCTGATACAATTCAAAATTATATCTTCTGCGCCACTGCCGTTGGTCGTTTACAGCTCCAAATATTTGTATTGCGGAGTATTTTACGCTCAAATATTCCCAAAAGTCTTTCATCTTTCTGCGTTAGAGTCCATGTTTCTGCTCCATATGTGAGGACCGGTCTCAGCAATGTTTTGTATATAATAATTTTAGTTCTTCTTTGAATGTTTCTTGAGTGGAAATGCTTTTGGAGTATGCCCTATTTGTAAGATTTATTCTTTTTTTGATTTCTTTGCTTGTTTTATTGGTAGCAGTCAATAGCGACCCAAGGTATGTGAAGTTGTCAACACGTCCAAAGGTATGACTTCCAAAGACTGTTTCTCGTTCCTCATTTGCTATCGGATCCTTTGCAACCAACATGTACTTGGTTTTGTCTTCGTTGATGACTAGACCGACATGTTTCGCCGCTGTTTCCAATTCTAGGAGATATCAGCATATGCTAAGACTTGTATCGATCTATTGTAAATAGTACCGCCATCCCTAATTCGTGTATCTCGGACTGCCTTTTCTAAGGCAATATTAAATAGGTGGCAAGTCATAGCATCCCCTTGTCTGAGTCCATCCTTTATCTCAAAGGATCAAAGGATCTAGAACTCTCTCCCTGTATTCTAACAGTGGCTTCTAAGTTAGACATTGTCATTCTCGTTAGTGGGATAAGTTTCTCTGGTATACCAAACTCATGCATTTATTGGTATAGCACTGTTCTCTTGACACTGTCGTATGCGGCCTTGAAGTCGACGAATAGGTGATGGGTTTCAATATTGAATTCTAATGTTTTCTCGAGAATCTGTCTTATTGAATGAATCTGGTCAATTGTTTATTTTTCTGGAGTGAATCCAGATTGATATTTACCAACTATGCCCACTGTGTAAACTTGCAGCCTTTCGTAGAGAATATTTGCTAGTATTATGTAAGCAGTTGTTAACAGGGTTATACCTCTATAGTTGTCACACTGGAGCTGGTCACCTTCTTTATGTAACGGGCATATCACGCCTTGAGACCATTCACAAGGCATGGTCTCATTATGCCAAACAAGAAGTAAAAGCTTATGCAGTGTCTGTAGTAGGGCATCGCCACCATTCTTGTAGAGCTCACTGCAAATTTGATCAACTCCTGGTGATTTATTATTTTTAAGCTTTTTAATGGCTTGGGCAACGTTTTCGATGGTAGGTGGTCTTTCGTTTGGGTTGAAAGGATTCCAATCATTTCGATTTGCTAGGGTGTTATCTGCTTCTTTGATATGATGGCTTTCTTATATGTATGTTGTATTTAATACAATATCTTGACAATCAATTTGTTTTCTGTTGTTATGTAATGGGTCAGATCCATAGTAATATGAAGTAATGTTACAAATTTTTTGTTAAACAACTGGACCACGAGCACTGGACAATATTTTTCGATAGCTCGTTGTTTCTTCCCATTTTTCTATCTTAAGTCTATTTTAGCGGTCATAAACAACGTTTTCGAGGTTATTTGAATTTTTCTATTACCTTTAAGGACCATTTTAAAAGATACTTGCTAAATTTTGTAGAACTACCCATAGACTGATTGTTACAATACCAGTTTGTTCATCCAGTGCGACGGAGAAAAATGAAGCAAATCAATCCCTGCTTCTCTTTCTAATTTACTAGGTTTATCGACCATATGATCCAAATGACCAGTTAGAAAGTTACGTGGTCGATAAAATCGGCCATTAAACAGAGATGCAGGGACTGCTTTGCGTCATGTTTTCTCTGTCGCACTAGGAAAACACGAGTGTATTGCAGCAGTCTTCTTCTTCTTCTTTCGTTTTATGGCCTCCACCTCTTAGGTACGTGGCCAGCTCATGTATATATTTTTATTTCAATTATAGAAGGGAATTCTCCTCACAGAGATTCTGGAAATAACCATATTCCCTTCAACTATTTTGGACAATTTATAGTGGATATTCTAAAATAATTCTATATGTCATTAATGATATAAATTTTTTTTGTTCCATCTATTAAGCTATGTAAGGTATATCATATCTGGAATTTGGCATCTTGGACAGGACATCAGTGGTTATAGGATAGGTTAGGTTGGGTATTTATTTATATTTTACTTACATTTTACTTTGGAAAATATTGATAAACTTACCAATCTTTTTCAAGGTTTTAGCATTGATATTGTGGAAAATATTTTGTACTGAAATGGGCGTTGGGCATCCATCTTTAATAAGTTTTTGATATAAATCAAATAGTAGTGTCTTATTGATAGGACACTCTAGCAAGATGTGTATTATACTTCCTATTTGATCACACTCACAAAAAGGGGAATCAATACAGTTAATTTTAAGTAGATGATCTGGCGCCAAACAATGTCCTGTTCGTAACCTAATAATTGTTGTCAGGTGTCTACGGTTTTCAAAGTCAAACTTATGAAACCAAGGTTTTATAGAGATATAAGGTTGAATGTTCGAATAAATGAACTTTGATGGTACACAAGGCAAATATCGAACACAGTATTTAATTAAATCTTGCCCAAGTACTTTCGATCACAAGATCATCCTCAGGGGCATTTCGTCAATTGTGGCCTATCCAGCAATAACCGAATGTCATACATGTAAACTGGGACATAACAAATACACTAAAGACAAACAAACACTTTAAAATTTAAATTGGAGAAGCTACATTTTTACAGTTTGTCTTTAGTGTATTTGTTATGTCCCAGTTTACATGTATGACATTCGGTTATTGCTGGATAGGCCACAATTGACGAAATGCCCCTGAGGATGATCTTGTAATCGAAAGTACTTGGGCAAGATTTAATTAAATACTGTGTTCGATATTTGCCTTGTGTACCATCAAAGTTTTATAGAGAATTCGCTTTGACATTGTTGATACCACTTTCCCTTTTGTTTAAACTGTTTAGGCCAATCAAGTTTAAATTCATTTATTAATGTTTGAGTAAGAAATGAAAGATAGTCCATTTTATCAATTTTTATGTTAGTTGGGATGTTTAGGGTTCTACCTATATTCGCCAATTGATCTGCCACAATATTCCCTTTTACTCCTGAGTGGCCTGGAATAAAGGCTATAATAATATCAAATCCTGCTTCATTTGCCTCAAGTATTAATCTTTTAGTTAAATTTACAATGTGGTTATTTGTTCCCCAACAGGTACTTTGTAATTTTTGGATTGCACTTTTTGCATCAGAGAATCTTATTGCTTTTTTAATATTTTTTTCTAAGCAAAGCGAAAGACTAACTAACTTAACTACTACTTTGCAGCAGTCAGTGTGTTAAGAATACAAATAACCTAAATGAAGTGACATTGTGACATATCAATGACAAAAAATGTGGCTTATTACTTACTATAAATGTCATACAGACAGTTTTATTTTAAAGTTCGAAATATACAATTTTTTAAATTACACTAGTTTATTTAAAACACAATGTCAAACACTATAACGGAAGAAGAAATTAATAAAGAAAAACCCATTAAAATTGGTCCTAAAAGACCTCGCTTACTTCAAAGTTACAAAAAAATTCCAAAAGAGAAAACTATAGTTGAATCTGATAAAGAAACAGATGGAACGGTAGAAGAGGAAGAGAATGTAGAAGATGATGAACTACTGGATTTAAATTTTTCAGGATGTACTAGTGAGGAGTTGCTAAATAAAAGAACGAAATCTTTCACTTGCTTTGCACAACTAGTTTTATCTAGCAGCTCCCTGTTAAGAAATATAAATTATGCTTTTCCTATTTTAAAAGATCCTGGAATAGACGATGCATTTAATTATGTTGGTAAGTTTAAATATTTTTAAGGGGTCTATAAGATATCAAGACAATACGAATAAAATAATTATTTTTACAAAATATGGAAATATATGTTATTAGAACATATTATCATTTAAAAAATGTGGAATATTCACCTATTTGAAAAAAATGATTTTATTAATCCTAATTTTTTTGTCACAAATGTAGTTTAGTATATATTTACACAGTAGGGTAAAACACCCAGTAGTCAGCCTTTTAGTGAGAATCTTAATTTGTTTCAATTGCATATAAAAAAATAAAGACGTTAAATAAAAACAAATATTTTTATCAGAAACTTTGTTTATTAAATTATCGAAAGAGATTAACTAAATGTTATTATTATGTTATAATTATAAAAAAAACAACAACACTTAACAAAATATTGCACTTTTCACCAGTAGTCAGCCTCATTTCTCCACAAGTCAGCCATGTCTATACCCTGTAGTCAGCCACTTACTTATTCTTGCATGTTGGACATAGAAACTCTTTATTATATACATTCTCATAAACGTCACCAACAAATTCAGTACATTTTAGATGATACCACGCAGGACAATTGTCACAACCAATATTCTTTAATTCGTTTATTTCTGTGTCACTAGTCAGTTCCTCTTCACACGAGTCACACCTTATTCTGCTCACTGTGCATGTTGTACTATTCTTCCTCTTTTTACTGTTTTTGGACTTCAATAGCCTTTCGGCTTTTCTTTTTTGTAATTCTTCTTTTTTCTTTTCTCTTTCTTTCTCCTTCTTTTCCTTAGCTTCCAGTCTTTTAATTTTTTTAATCAATATATCGTTCTTTTTCTGCTCCTTAATTTCTTCCTTCTGCTTCTCAAACTGTCTCCACTCATCGGAGGAAATGGCTCCTATTCTATTAATAGACATCTTCTTTTTTATGGTCTTAGATGTACTAGGTAAAGTTAAATACTTACCTAACACGGGAGATAGATTTGTTGATTTGACAACAACATTGGACAAGATATTTATTCTGTTTTTGATATTTTTTGAACTGTCATTTAATTTGTTTTGCATATTTTGTGTATTATTTTCTTGCAAAATATCATTTTCGGTGGGGTTTGGGTTCCTGCACTCTTGATTTGTTATTTTTATATTCTCCGTAATGTAGTTATGGTTTTCTAAAAGTTCGTCTTCCATTCGATTTTCTTTGTCATCCTCCATCTTATCTTGGTTAATGTTTGTTTCTGTTTCAGATTCCTTAGGTGATATATTCAACTTATCATGTGTCGGAGGTTCTTTGTGACAGTTCAGATCTTCGGGCGTATTTGCATTAAATTCAGCAACTTCTGATGGCTGTGTTTCCTGGACTTCATTTTGTGGTATGACTTCAAATTCGGTTATAATTTCGAAGTCATTTAAGTCACTTTCTGTCAAGTTATTCAAATTATTTTCCAGTGTAGAATCACCTATATTTGGTAAAATTATATCAAAAACTTGAACTGGTTGTGACACTATGTCTGATTCAATATGTGTATGGTTAGGAAAACTTATGTCATTTATTTGTGTCTGGCTAATTGAATTTTCGGTTGAATTGAGACTTTCAGTATCGTTATTCTTTGCTGTATTTAAAACATCAACAACAATTTTCGAGTCAACTCCAGCATTTTTCAGCTCGTTACTAAGCTGATTAATTATCTTGATGGCGGTGTTCAAATGCCTATTCTTTATTTTCTTGTCTGGAGATTTAACATTCTTAGTGGAATTCTGATGTTTTTCAAGAATATTTTGTACACATTTTGAGTAATCCAAGGCATTTGGATTGTATGGATATAAGCCACACTTGCGAAAACCATTGCTGATAATTACAGGCAAATTTTCTTTTTCTAAAACTTTTTTGAGCAATGGACAAAACGTTGATTTGCTCAAAATATTATTAACATTTTCAGGACGAATTGCCCATTCGTGTACTGTATCTTTCCATTGTGACTTTAAAGGCTTAAATACACTTACATCTGCAGGCTGAATCAAATGTGTCGCATTTGGTGGAAGTGAGTAAAGGATAATACCGTTTTCGTAACAATATTCACTGAGCCGCATTGTTAAGTGGCTTTTATGTCCATCAACAAAAACGATAACTGGCTTTTTGATGTTTTTTTCTTCCACCCATGTGTTCAAACCTTTAACTATATAATCATAAAATATATCTGATTTCATCCACCCGGTTTCGGATTTTCCTAATAGCCATCCAGCAGGCATACTGTTTATAACATCTTTTGGTGGTCTTACATATGGAAACACTACACAACGAGGCAAAATCTTCCCAGAAGCTGATATAAATACAAGAACTGTAACAGCCTCTTTTTCTTTGCCTTTTACGATTTTGTAGACATTCTTGTACCCTCTAGGTGCAATAACTTTTCCTGTTTTGGGACATATGTAGAAACTGGTTTCATCACCATTAAAAATACGATCTGGGTCAGTCAAAATATCAGTCGCGTTTATATCTTCTAAATGCTTCAGTAATTCAGTAAACCACTTCCGAATACTTTCTTCGGTTACTGCTGCTCGGCCCTTAGATATATTTTCGGGTGTCCTTTCACTTAACTCAGGATTTCGTCTAAGAAATGACTGGTACCATTTTTTTCCCGGCCTATTATTTACAAATGGGTTAGGTCTAGGTTTGTCCTCTTGGGAAATAATATTATGGACAGTATTAAGAAGATCGTCGCGTTTTAAAGGAAAGCCACATTTTGCTAAGGCTATGCACCACTCTTTCAAGGCAGTCTCTTCTTCTTTAGAAAGTACCGAGTCTGGTCCCATTTGACGTGGTACTTCTGGGACTCTTAAATGTAGCCGATCTTGTAGGGTTCCTCGTGGTACGCTAAAAACTCGACTAGCTTCTCTAATTGTCATCCCATTTCTTATTGCGGTCATAGCTTCTGACAATTGCTCTTCTTTATACTTGTGGATTGGTCTTTTCGACATGATGACAATCTGTAATAAAAGATTTTTATGTTAAAAACCCCTACCATAAATTTAATCCTAATTAAAAGGCATTAAGATCCAGTTTTATGTATCAGAACTAACGGCCGACTATTGGAGTTTAAAGTCTATTACTCGGCCCTCACCGTGCATTTACTTTTATACATGGCTGACTACTGGAAATCTAAGAAAATCGTAACAAACCAGTACTCAGCCCCTTGTGGCTGAGTACTGGATCAACCTTAAAAAATCGAGAACCCAGTAGTCGGCCCCCTAAATTAAAAGGCAATAAACAAATAAAATGCGTCTAATGATTAATTTTATCATAAAATAAACATTTTATAACATCATTACATAAAATCCACCAGAAATTACATAAAATTCATAGAAAAACTTACCGAAATCTCGAACACGTTTTTCTACAAAAAATATTGCAACAGCGAATCGTCTAGACTTGTCTGTGGCGGGAGTGAAAATGAACGAGTACAGCTCATCAACCTGTGGTGCTATTAGTTCGGGGGTGTTCGTATTGACCAATGAAGGGACATAGATTTTGTCAACAGTCATTTCACTGGTTTAAACTAATTTCAACACTATTTACATTATAATAAAGACTGTAAAGGCCGACTACTGGTGCGAGGCTGACTATTGGGTGCTTTACCCTATGTAGATTTTCTTGGAACATTTTCTCGTAAGTTAAGTCTAAGGTGCTAAATCAGATTATGATATTCTTTTGGACATGTTCGTAGTGTTGTGTCAATCGTCCATTTTACGAAGACCGAATCGATTAGTGACCGACTCCAAATACAATCGAATCATTTCAATGGTTCGTCCGTTTCCGAGTAACCGATTGATTGAGCTGAATCGACTGAAAACCGAGAGCATTGTTTACGGTATTTCGTATGAGTTTTCAGCTTCACCTAAATTATTGGAATATCACGTTTATTTTTATCACCTAAATATATATCTATTTTTTAACATTCAATATGTAAGAACATATTCTTAAGAAATAATTAATTATTCGAGAAACGAGTATTTATTATGTTTTTGTTTTTAGGTCCTTTAGTGTAACTCAAAAATAATTATACAAACGATTCAGCCGCATAGCATATATCGGTTTTCTTCGCAACTCGCCGTAGGCGGTAGATCAATCGATTTTTGTCACCGTACGATCCGATCGTTACGACTAGGATTCGGTTGTTCAATACTTTGAAGTGATTGAATCAAAACGTACGAATCAATCACGATTGATACAACACTAGTTCAGTTCATGAGATATAAATAACTCAAGCAAAACCTTATCAAACCTACCAAGTCACCTAATCGCTTCGTATCCTTTTTGTAATCAATTAATTTTTATTATGGATATCTCGGAACATTGGCATGCTCATGTAAAATGGTATGATCTTGTTAATTTCACGTAATTAAACTAAATCTATCGAAACCTAAACTAGCCGACTTTAACCATAGACATATAAAACAAATAGACTGACTGTTGTAATGCAGGCCCATTCCCCCAGTACGACAGAGAAAACTGATGCATAGTGGTCACTGCATCTCTTTCTAATGGGGCGGGTTTATCGACCACGTGACTTAAATGACCAATGGTAAGGTCACGTGGTCGATAAACCCGGTCCACTAGAAAGAGACGCAGGGACTGCTTTTTACCGCCACTTAAGACATAACGTGTCTCCTGATGCCCTGCTTATAGTTCTGACTTGTTTTTAATTTTTTTTATGCATTTTTACATTTTTAGAACCTGTACCTGTCTACGACGACATTGGAGTACAGAAATATATAAATATTTGTAAGGAACTTAACATTGTACCGCTCAGAAGAGTAAAAAATACTCTTAGCAGTAAACGTATGAACTTAAAGGTAGGCACATTTATTACTTAATTATATACATAATATAACATAGTCCTCCCTTTACCGTTTACGATTTACTGCTAAATGTTCTACCTCTTGCCAATTTAATCTTTGTTTTTCAAACCCTTTTTTATTCGGTCGATCTGTATAGCTGTAGATCTCCCTGGTTTTTTTCTTATAAATATCCTGTATCTGTTTCACTTAAATATCATCAATCAATCAATAATTTATTCTATCTACCTAATAAAAAATAAATTTCTCATCAGAAGAGTTTTGGTTTATTTTACTGTACAATGTTCAATAAATGAACAAATCCCCCTTCGTTGGCTCAGTGGAGATGTTCGTTCAGTTGTAATGGAAACACCAAATAATAGTAGCAGAGTTTATTAATGAGACGTACACTATGGGCGTTGACCCGGGATTACTTTGAGTAGAGACTGTTGCAGTTGATCGCTGAAGACTATAGAGTTTGTTGAGTGAATATTGATTGAATGCTTCTCTAGGCAAGAGATATTAGTTTTATATAAGTTTTAATTGGGTCAATATATTCGCGGGCATCGCGTGATATGTGTGTCTAATTTATGTAAATTGTTTAACTTTGTCAGCACTTTTGACTGATGTCCAAATTATATTGTTGATAATTGACCAAATCCGTATGTAACCTAATTAACTACGTGTGTGTATTTAATAACAAATAAATACATTCGGTCTACTGGGTGATAAAATTATACTGTCCATTTTTGGATATGAATTCTGAAGATTTGATATTGGACATACTGCGGAATCGGGCAATCTGGCCCAAGTGTCAATACTCAAAGTTTACATATAAGTATAACATACCATAGTACAATTCAAACATGATAAATTATAAGTAGTTTAAGAATAATCAATAATCTTCCAACCGCTACCCTAGCTATCAATGTCCGACTCTATCTCTAGATTAAAATTAGGGCAATTGGATGAAAATGTAGAGAGTGGGATGTCGGCTTGGGAAGTTGACGGTACATTGTTGTACCGATTACTAACTAATACAGGTACTTCCTGTTCGTTAGTCTGAGTTTTTGGATTCCCTGAACGACATAGTCGTGCAACAGGACGGTACTTCCATAACGTGAGTATCCCAATTATTACCATTATAGTAATGGTCCCGGTAGCCACAAAATAATGCCAATTAGATTCGTGAATCGATCGCCACTGCGTATGCCTCACACATGACGTAGCTCTCCTCCTGGTATGTCAAGGTAGGTGTTTAGAGGCGTGTTAAACCTGCGGGGTGTCCTCGCCACCAGTTGAGCCACGGGAGTGATTGGCGACTTCAGGTAACTTGTCACCGCTCTGTCCACCCCGCTGCTATTGGGGAGTAATGTAACATTTTTCGTTTGGGCGATACATTTGGGTGAAAGCTTCAGGAATGTGACTCGTTCCAGTACTCTTTCGCTCCGATTTCCATCGCAAATAATGGATATGTGTATCATGACTGGCGTGATAACTAGCCAGAGGTTGGGAGTACCTATCTTTCTCCATTGAGCTGTCTGTATTGTCTTGGCTACCAGTGGACATGTGCTATTCTTAGATCGCTCATAAATTTCTTCAAGTATGCAGTTTGGTTGGGTATCCATGTTTCTTATAGCCGTTGGTGAGCACGCTATCTGCGCCTTTGTCAACAGTAAGCACCTTTCTCTATCTTCCTTCCTTCCTTCCTATCTTCCTTCTGTATGTGTGTCTAATTTATGTAAATTGTTTAACTTTGTCAGCACTTTTGTCTGATGTCCAAATTATATTGTTGATAATTGACCAAATCCGTATGTAACCTAATTAACTACGTGTGTGTATTTAATAACAAACAAATTCATTCGGTCTACTGGGTGATAAAATTATACTGTCCATTTTCGGATATGAATTCTGAAGATTTGATATTGGACAATAAATAAAAAAAATCCTAATAAACTCTACGTTATCGTTGGATATCCGATACCAATTTGTAAAAACGTTTATTCCATATTGCTATACGGAGTGGAAACAGGGACTCTTGGAATTACAAGTATGAGGCATATAGAAGCCTTTGAGATGTGGGTTTTTCGAAGGATGCTGAAGATCTCTTGAACAGAACACGTGACCAACAACGAGGTGCTAAGAAGAATGGGTACTGGGGGAAATGAGTTATCTAGGACATATTTACGGAGGAGAAAAATACAACTTCCTATGACTTATAATAGAAGGGAAAGTGGAAGGAAGAAGAGGTCCAGGAAGACAAAAATGCTCCTGGTTGAAGAATATAAGAGACTGGACAGGCACAGACATACATTCGATACTAAGAACAGATCATGATAGAGAGCAATTTGCTGTAGTTATAGCCAACCTTCAGTAATGGAGAAGAATTCAGTAAGAAGAACAAGTAATTGATTAGTTCATATTTTAAGAACTCATAAAGGGGTAAATGAAGGTAAATGGAGAGTAAATGAACGGACATGCACAATGATATATAACGAATACCATTTTATTAGGTGGAGGCTCGCTTATGACGTGGAGAGGCAATTCGGACTTGGTGGTATTGAATAATACAAATCTTAAATCTTACTGCTGAATGCTAAGTACATATTGGTCATTCTTGAAAATCAATGTACTTTTAAGTTGCTCCTTATGAAGTTGAAGGAAACAATGTACTCGTCAGCACGTAGTTTTGACCTTAATCAATTATAGCATATCTGAAATACGCTTGGGAGGCAATTATTACGATCCCAACCGAACCAACTCAATAAGTTAGAGGACTGGGGGTGACTTTTGATCGCCCCCAACAACTTTGCCTGAACAAGTCTAGACCAAAACAGCGTTTAAAATCTGATTTTAAGCATAACAGGAAGTGATTAAAGGCAGAGGTGGAAATACCTAATATTAAGGTTAAAATTATGAGTAGACTTTGTTTCTTAAAAAAAAATTCTAATTTTTCTTTTTTTTTGCTCTAAAAATTTGGGCCTAATTTTAACAATGTATTTTGTAATAAAATATTTAGTACTTTAATAATACTTGAAATATAATATTTAATTTATCAATTCAACTTACAGTTCAGTTGTCAGAGATTTGACCTCTAAAAATCATACGAACAAGCTGAATTTTGCTAAGAATATCAATTTTGGAATCCCAAAAAATATTACCACTTCTACCCCCGGCTTTTCCACAACTCCCCTTCACCGGCGGAGATTGACTTCTGTCGAGATGACACTCTGATCAAAAGATATCGGATTTTTACCGTTGAGTTTATACAAATTTTATTTAAAATTGATTTCACGCGCGTTACTGATTATTTCAGAGACGAAGATTCATTTTATACAAAAAGTGCTAATAAATATTTTTATTAAAAATTATCTCAGCTACATTGTTCATTTAATCCTAAAGAACTACAGACCTATTAGTTTGCTCTCCCATACATACAAACTATTCATAAAGATAATAACAAAACGGCGTGTGAACAAACTGAATAGTTATCAACCTTGTGAACAGGCTGGGTTCCGCTCTAGATACGGAACACATGATCGTCTACAAATTATAAAAACGGCAATAGAAAAGTTTACAGAGTATAACAAGCCTATCTTTCTTATATTCGTAGATTATGAAAAGGCGTTCGATACTGTAGATCATCATAAAATGCTTCGAGCATTGGGTGACTGCCGCATTGACTTGATTATATATCGCCTTGATTAAAAGTATTTACAAAACTGGTACAGCTTGTGTCCGCCTTCATGATGATACCAAGAAATTTCGAATAGAACACAGGGTGATACTATCTCCCCTAAATTGTTTACAGCTGTTCTTGAATATATGTTCAAGCAAATGGAATGAGAGGACAATATGGGAATTAATATAAATGCACTGCACATGCTCTATAAAGTGTCAAAAACAATTGGTCTTAAAATTAACACCTCAAAGACAAAATTGATGCTGATCACCCTTGTAGTCAGCAGTAAAATTCTGATTAAGAGCCATAGCATCGACCAAGTAACAGCTTACAAATATCTAGGGCATGAGATTCGCTTAGACCGAGATAATCAGACAACTGAAATACAAAGAAGGATAGGTCTCACATGGGCTGACTTTGGTAGATTTAGATTGAATAACATTTTCAAGTCTATTATCCCAGTTTGTTTAAAAACAAAGGTTTTTAACCAGTGCGTTTTACCGGTTCTTACATATGGTGCAGAAACACTGACTCTGACAAAAAGAACAATAGATAAAATAAGAGTTACACAATGCGCTATGGAAAGATCAATATTAGGTATTACCGTCAGAGATAAAGAACCAAACCTAGTAATAAGAAGAACAGGAGTCACAGATGCAGTTGAAAAAATATCATGATCATCATCATCATTTTGGCTTTACAACCCTGTGTGGGTCCTAGCCTCCCCAAGAATTCTCTTCCAGTCGTCCCTATCCATCGCCTTCCTCCGCCAAGCACGTATTTCCATATTTCTCATATCTTGGTCTATGTTATCTAGGAATCTTATTCTGGGTCTTCCTCTTCTTCTTTGACCAATAGGTCTATCAAAGAGCGTTTTTCTAGCTGGGTCGGTTTGCTCCATACGCATTACATGGCCTACCCACCTCAGACATCCTATCTTAATGTGTTTTACGATATCTGGTTCCTGGTATATTCTATAGAGTTCGAAGTTGTATCCTCCAGACACCATTTTCATTTACCGCTCCATAGATTCGCCAAAGCAATGAAAACACCGTTTTCATTGCTTTTTGTTAAAGTCCAGGTTTCTGAACCATATGTTAGGACTGGGCGTATTATTGTTTTGTAGAGTTTTACTTTTGTATTTCTTGATATAGCTGTAGATTTAAAAAGGAGATTAAGCCCAAAATAGCATCTATTAGCCGTGCAAATTCTGCGGTTTATCTCTGCTGTAATGTCATTTTCAGTATTGACGAGCGTTCCCAGGTATACAAATTCGTTAACTGCTTCGATGACGTTGTTTTCTATAACAAGTGGCCATCGTATTTGTGGTTGCGGACCTATTTTCATGTATTTCGTTTTATTAATGTTTATTATTAAACCTCAGTTGAAAAAATAACCATGACTAAATGGGCTTGGGCCGGACATGTTGCCAGATTAACGGATGATAGATGGACCAGAAAGATTCTGGAATGGCGACCACGGCAAGAGGCATATCGAAGCAGAGGACGCCCACCGACTAGATGAACGGATGATATCAAGCTCATCACCACAAACTGGATGCAAGAAGCTCAAGATAGAAATAGATGGAAAATTTTACGGGAGACCTGCTTTCAACAGTGGACAAATATAGGCTAATTGATGATGATGATTGTTAATTTGAAACATTTTTTAGTGCGGCGTTTTAAAAGGAAGCCCGGGGGTAGAAGTGGTAAACTTTATTGCATCTTTTTTCAGATCCCAAAATTGACACTCTTAGCAAAATTCAGCTTGTTCGTATGATTTTTCGAGATTCAGTGGCATTTTTGTCTCTGACGACTGAAGTATTATTAATATATTTATTAACGGTGCGTTAATTTCTTAGAGCAGTGTATACCACTTGACTTTAAAATTTAGTGGTAGTTATGTCTTCCCTTAAAAGTTTTTAAATTGGGGAGTGAACAACTATGTGCTGTAGTAATTATGCTTAGTGTGAATCATCAGCATAAAGTGCTGCCCAAGCTGGTCTTCTCTTTTTTGCTTCCTCCATCGGATTTTCCTTATTGAAATTTGTGGTATTCCCCTAAGTATATATATATTTAGTCACATGTTCTATGTTTGATTGTTCTACTGTGATACTGTGAACAATTTTAAAATGATTTTATTGAATATGTTTAGTTTTACGGTTTGAGAGAAAAACAATTACAAGCTATTATGGACACGCTTACAGGAAATCACTACGTAGAAACACTAGTTTTACAAGACAATTTTTTAACGACAAAAATGGTCGGATTAGTTTGCAAAATGATCGAAGAAAACGGTACCATTCGTGTTTTAAATATGCAAAAGTGTAATATTGGAGCAGATGGTAAGCAAGCAAATATAAAACTTTTCTCTTTCCAATTCAGTCTTTTATACGATATCATTTTCTAAAATATATAATCTAACCATTTACTTAACTTCAAAGACCTATTTTGCCTAACCGTTTCCCACCACATATTCGTTGGTGTTTCTATTCTACTCCTTCGAGAAAGCTGTAACTCATTCTTCGGATCGTGTAACCAACATATCTATCTACAAATAACTTAGTAACCCAAATAAGACCTAATCCCTTCTTTAACGAATCGAGGCAAATTCGGTAATAGTGATGGATAACACTTCTTATCACAGCCGATTAGTAGAACATCTGCCAACTATGACCACCAGAAAAGAAGACGTGCAGAATTGGTTAGGACAAAAAAGAAGACATGCAGAATTGGTTAGGATAAAAAGAAAGTCCATTTTCCGAGGACACGGTTACAGCTAAGCTTATAAGTCTCATTAGAAACTTTAAAACTATTACTAGTTTTCACAATAATTTCACTATTTAAAGTTTGCAACTAACTTTATTATTCAATAAAGTGAATAGCGTCAGTGGATCGTTTCTTTATCTTTAATGAATATATTGTCTTCTCTTGAAAGGTTGTTAAATAAACAATGGGATAGTTGGCGGCTGCTGATAGATTTGTTCAGGGGGCGCTGATTAGAGAATACAAAAAAAATAGGTACTTACCAAACAACATGGCAAGCGACGTCAGTCTTTTTTCCCACATTGTATTCTTAAGAGTAGGAACACATAGAACGCGTGTTGCCGGCTCTGGCGAGCAATCGCTGACAAGCACCAACAAGCGCGTGTGCATATTAGCATAGTTTGATATGGAACAGTACACAAAGAATGCTTATCTGAACTTGTCGGCGTTTTCAATCGGCGCTGACTAGCAAACAAGAATAAGGGTAAGAACACGTAGAACGCCGGTGAACCGGCGCGCTTATTGCTGGTGGTGACAAGTGCTTATTTTCAGCACTTGCCTGCTTTTACGTGGACAAGTAAAAAGCTGGATATCAGCATCAGTTTGTTTAAAACTTTTCGTAGTGAAAGATGTCGTTGCATTCCGAAACTGAAGATAAAATGTTTTTATTAAAAAATGTCCACTTAAAAATTTTACATAGAAGGAAGGATGGTGTGCATGAAATTAATCGTGAACGGCGGGAGTTCGGGGAGTACCACCACCTCTTTCCGCAGCTAAAAATGGGCAGTCAGAGATTCTTTAGATACATGAGGATGAAGTTGGGCACATTTAATTACATCCTGAGTAAAGTAAAAGAAAGTTTATCAAAAAAGTGGTGTAACTGGCATCATCAACCCATACTTCCAGAAGAACGATTAGTCATTTGTTTGAGGTAAGTATAACCTTATTGAAATTACTTTTTTTACAAAATAATGCAAAGAATAAAAACTACATATAGTATTTATTGGTCGCTGTCCTCCATAAATCCATATTTACTAATATAAAACTGTGAGTCTTGATCCGATGAAATTCTAAGCAAATTACTTTGGTACGCAAATTCTTGAACTAATTGTTGGATCCTTCCGCGAAATTCTAAAATTCTTTCTGGTATAATATTTTTTACTTGCGGAAGAATGCTTTTAAAAAAATGCAAGTATTCGTCTTCAGGCTCCTCTTTATTTTTGTTAGCGGTCTTTCGAGCCAGGATTTCTAGTGTTTTTCGTTTTATATCCAGCATAGATGCGGTATAATCATTTGTCATTTGACGTTTAACTATTCGTTTGAATATTGGCTGGGACTTACGAGTCTATGGCGTTGTTGCTGTAGAAGAAGTATTGGATGGCGTATTTTGCGGAATCGATGCTGCAGAATCGTCAGAAGGGAAAAAGTCATTTCCTACTTCAGCATAGTCTAATAAATCTTGGTCATCGGCAGTGTCTAGTGATTGTTCATGTTGAATGACGACATCTCATTTTTATCCTCAGTAGCATCAAGAGCTGTCACAGCAGATGCACCGCACTCAGAGTTTTCTTGGTCCCTATGAGCTTCAGTTCGGGTCAAATTTCCCGAGCTAGGTAGTGATTTAATGATGTCTTTCAGAAAGTACAACGATTTAAAGTAGTGCCACTTACTGGTGTGCTTTTCCCCACCTTCATCTCCAGATTTGGAGCGTTTAATTTTCGACAACTCTGTACTAAACTGATCACGCAAATACTTCCACTTTTTGCGCAGTTTGTTTTTTGTAATAAAAGAAAAAACGGGTAAAATATGTACATACAAGAAGGTCAGTGTTACGAAACTAACTACATTATGGTTAGTGGAATTCCTGTCTGTGTATAGCTACATTTATGAACACTGATGCTTAATTTAAATTATGTGAATTTATGTTATTACAGGTACATATTATTTCGTTTCAGGTATTTAGCCACAGGAGCATCATTCAAAGCCCTGTCATTCAGTTTCTGAGTGGGTTGATGAACTGTAGGGAACATTGTTAGACAGGTGGTTACAGTTGTATGGGATGAACTTCAGCCTTTGCATATGCCAGTACCAAAACAACTTTTTCTAAAAACTGTTAAGGATTTCTTTGGTTTTTGGAATTTTCCAAATGCAATTGAATGCTTGGGGCAATTGACGGAAAGCATGTCCGAGTTAAGTGTCCAAATAATTCAGGATCCATGTTTTTTAATTACAAACATTTCTTCTCTGTCGTCTTACAAGGCGTTGCTGATGCGAACTATCGGTTTATAACAGTCGACGTTGGCGGATATGGCAAACAAAGTGACGGTGGGACCTTCCAAGCATCTGATTTATACGATCTATTATTAAACAAGCAGGAACTTGACATTCCGGAACCCTCATTCTTACCTGGCACGAATGTGAAAGCTCCATATGTGTTTGTTGTAGACGAGGCATATCCACTGCTCCCTTAACTCCTTAAACCATATTTAAGAGATGCTTTGGGTATTAATGAGGAAAATTATAATAAACGGTTGTCTCGAATAAGAAAGTCAATTGAATTCGCATTTGGAATGTTATATGCAAAATGGCGTTTGCTTTCGAAGAACATTGAAACAGATGTTAAAATAGTAGATAGTATTATTAAGTGTATATGTATTTTTCACAATACCGTTATTTATATGGAAGGAATAACGCATCATTTAGCTGATGCAGCAGTAATTCCTGTGTCAAACAATAAAAAGAAACCTGTCGGAAGACCGACAAATGAGGCAAAAAGTGTTAGGGATTTATTCACCACGTACTTTGCCAATACTCCTTGAGTTTATGATGTGTAATGTATAAACATATTTTTGTAATAGTGCAGAATCTATTCGACTTATTTATTTTGGCTCTAAATGTTATACATGATAGAAATCATATTGTTTAATTGGGAGTTTCTAAAATATGTATTAGGACCGACAGGCCGTATGTAACAAGAAATAAAATCTGTAATAAAAATTTGTTTAATTTCAATTTTCATTTGAACACTCACGTCCTTCCAGCACTTTTCCACATAATTCCTGTTGGAATGTTGTTTGACTCGTTTATCCCATATAGCCCGTCTTTCGTATTCCAGACTTTAATAAATGCTTTTATAGCCCCAAATATTGTGTAAACGCACAAAAACAAACACTCCCAAATACGACTACCAGTGTCCTAGAAGCTGGAAAATAATGTATTGAACAGTCTTGTTTACTGGTCAGCTCCTATTGCAAACGCCGATAAGTTCAGACAAGCGTTCTTTGTATACCGTTTCATATCAAAGTATGCTAATATGCACACGCGCTTGTTGGTGTTTGTCAGCGCTTGCTCGCCACAGCGCCGGCAACACGCGTTCTACGTGTTCCTACCCTAACACATTATTTTCCAGTCTGGTATACGACAAACGGGCTATATTGAATAAACGAGTCAAACAACATTCTAACTGGAATTATGTTGAAAAATGTTGGAAGGACGTGAGTGTTAAAATAAAAATTGAAGGTAAACTAATGATTTTACTGCTGGCAAGTGCTAAAAATAAGCGCTGGTGAACAGCAATAAGCGCGCCGTGCCGGTTCGCAGGCGTTCTACGAGTTCCTACTCCTAGAAACATCTTTTCGGTTCACTTTTGTTGCCTATCCCGACCTTTAGAGGCTCTAACTTTTTTCTGTTTATTCGTTTTTTTTTACGTTCTTTAAAATATCTTTTAATATGTATTAAATGTGTAATTTTTCATTTTGCAGGCGCCGTGTTACTTAATGAATCTTTATCAAACTCCCAATTCCTTACTGAATTGGATCTAAGTTGCAACAATTTAGGTGATACAGGGATCAGAAATGTCCAACAAGGCCTGTGTGACATGCCCTCCTTGAAAGCATTAAATCTTAGCAATAATAAACTAACAGGAGAATCAGCTGATGCAATTGAAAAAATAATTGTTAACAATAAAGTGTTGTCTGAATTGAATTTATCATGGAATGAATTTTACACAGCAATAGGTAAAGTTAACGCCTTAAAAATATTAAAACTAAAAATACTAAATGCTTTACTGTTCCTTTCAATGTGGGAACAATGAGACGCAACAATGAACATTATTTTACGACTATCAAGACTATCAAAGTTTAATTTAAATTTTAAAAGCGAACTTTGGCGCTTAGTTAACACTTGCATTAAAGGGGGCGACAAAATCATTTTCATGTCTCTTTTTAATACATGTGAGACATCTATGATAACCGGAAAGAAGAACCTTTAGCGCTTTTTCGTAAAAACGATATTTCAAAATCGATTTCTTTTATTTGAGACAAGACTTGTTGACAAAAATACCTACATAGTATGTCTTTTACTTAAAGTTAAATTGAACAAGCACATAATTACCATTATTGGGGCAGCAATCAAGATCTTCGAAACTAATTATTGGTTCGGCATCTTCACCAATAAAATCCTCTCTTTCGCTGGAATCTTGTAATTCCATCTCGTTTTCATCTTGCTCATCAGAACCACTATCTAATACGTGCCTTGTTACTTTTTCTGTTTTAGTGTTTTTTCTTTAAATTTAATCAGTTTCATTTTTCCAGGGTATCCGTAGCTATCACCGTCTTTCCTTTTGTGTTTTGCGTTTTTTGTTGCCCTCCCCAGATTTTCTTGTCGGATCTTTAGGATAACCCTTAAAAACTGTTGGTCTAACAAAGGTTTTCGTGGCATCAGTATTATCTGTCACAAAACTTGACAAAAAATATTCTTCCGTGAAGACATGCTGATCGAATGGAAATATTCCGGTTTGTGATATTAACTGGCGTCATTGCTCGTGGAAATGCTGTGCCCACACAAGCTGCTACGTTATAAATTGTAAATGTTTGAGCGGGATGGATAAACATCCATGCATCTACTGCAGCAATATAGAAAGTTTGAAATGGTTTTAATAAGCCTACGTCAAACGGATGTTATCTGTTCGTATAGTGTGGCGGTATAGTTAGGATTATAAACATGAATCGATTGTCTCAATCGATAAATGACTTTGATGATTATCCACTAGTGATAAAGAAAGGTTTTCTCTGGTACTACTAGTGTGCTTAATAAAATGCTTAACAACTTGTACGACGCACTCTGTATTTATCCAACTTGTTTTTGAAGCTAGTTCCAAAGTTCCAAGGGGCTTCCCAATTATCATAAAATCTTTCTAAAGTGCACTCGTACTTTAATATCAACATGTACTAGCCCACCGTGTGCTTGTTGGTTCTGCAAGGGCGAAAAGTTATTTGAATATTGCTTGTTAACTCAATGAAAAAGAATGTTTCTTTCATTTTTTTCAATAGTAAATTGTCAAAATAGGTTCAAACTTTCTATTTAAGTGCAGCAGTTGGATAAATATGTATCATGTAAAAAGTTATGAAAAGTCAAAAAGCGTTAACAAAGTTCCCAATTTTAGAGAGTATATTTTTAAAACAGTACTTTGAAAATATTTAAAATTCGTTATTATTTCTCTAGTATAGTAGTCTTAGACTGTCACGAAAAACTTATATAGGTCATTGAGAAGATCGAAGACATATGTGATAGAGTTTTTACTTTAAGTTTGAGAAGAGGATTAAAATATCAAGAATTTTTGTTTGGAATATTGGAATTCTTTGCACCATACAAAAAGAGGAGATATCTGTGTTTGCTCTAACCACAGAGGAATTATGCTTCTAAAGGCAACGTACAAAATATTTTCCACAGTATATGTCACCGAATGACACCATTTGCAGAACGGATAGTAAGAAAATATCAGGCTGGTTTCAAAAGGTGATAAATCGACAATTCATCAGATTGCAACCCTGAAAGAAATTTTAGAAAAAACACTGGAATATGCATTGATACTCATCACATATTTATAGACTACAAAGCAGCCTAAGACTCTGTGAGTAAAAGAGAAATGTTCAAAGCAATGAAAGAGCTAGGAATACCAAATCAGTTGGTAAATTCAAGAAAACTAACTCTTGAAAAAGTTTAATGTGGAGTACGAATTCAGGGGGAACTCTCTGAATCCTTTAAAACAAATAAAGGCTGCACCAGGGAGACCCTCTCTCCTGAATACTGTTCAATCTGGCACTAGAAAAAGAAATACGATGTCACAAATCACAACTATTGGTTCAATAAATCAGTGAAAATCCTTGCCTATGATGATGATATCAATATTGTTGGAAGAATGGAAAACGCTGTACGAGAGGCGTATGTAGCATTAAAAGAATCAGCTACAAAGTATATAAAAATAAGCACGCAACCACAAATCCTACTACCACTTGTTATAGAAAACGACGTCACCGAAGCGAATTCGTGTATGAATTTGTATACTTTGGAGCACTCCTTATCACTGAAAATAATACTACCGCAGAATTTGCACGGCCAACAGATGCTATTTTGGGCTCAATCTCCTCATTAAATCCACAATTATATCGAGAAATGCAAAAATTAAACTCTACAAAACAAAATACGACCAGTCCTAACATATGGCTGAGAGACCTGGACTCTTAACAAAAAATAATGAAAACATAGGGATGACTGAAGAGAAATTCTCGAGGAGATTAGGACCAACGCAGGGTTGTAAAGCCAGAATGATGATGATGATAAATTTTTGTTTTGTTTGATAATATTTAACCGGTCGCGTCGAGTGATTGCCAGCCCCAGAAGGCTCCTCCAATTTATTTGTCATGGAAAATCGTTCTGCATTATTTTTGTTTACTTCTACAATTAGTTGCCTGACTTATGCAATCTTTCTCCATTCTCTACTATCTGTGTATATTATGGTTCTCCAGTTTTTGACTGCAAGCTTTCCAATGTTCTGAATTTGGTTCTGGTCTTCCCAATTTACATTATAAATCAGTATGGTATTCCAATGTAAAAAGAACTCTGCAATTTTTGATATAACGATTCATAGTTTTGTAATGGTCTTCTGAAGTTGTTGTAATGTTCCAAAAGTTAATTTTTTAAGCAAGTGTAAAGATAATATTTCTTAAAGCAAATATTTTTCGGGCAGTTCGAATGTCTACTGCAAAAAAATGCTTTAATGCAGAATAAAACATTTGTATGATTTTTTAAATTCTTCAACAAAAAATGTAAATAATTTTCTTAAAAAATCAGTTTAACTGTTGATGTTGTAGTGAAAATGTTTTAACTGTTCTTCTAACAAAATTTTATAAGAAACTACTTGAGTTCTATTCCGTGTTATCAGGGTTTGAGTTATAATAAATGTTTTTGAACTCTCTGATTTATTTTCATTAGCAGGTGTCTCTGTTGAACCACACTTTTGTGTATCATTCTTAACTGTTTGTAATAATTTTTTTGTTTGCTCTTTTTGTTTGTTTGATGGCAATACTGCTGCACAAAGTCTTTTTCTATATCTCTATATAACTTTACCCAGAGTCCTTCACTGAAGTCTCCAACTTTCTTTTTGATAAATTTAATGAAGGTATCGAATATTTTTTAAGGATCCTTCATTGTCCTAGAAAAACAAGACAATGACAATACAAGAACTAAGGATAGGTATTTTTTAACTTACCCAAACTGTAACGGTATAACTTTAATCTGAAAATGGCCTGGAACAGATTTTTGTGTGCTTGCTGATACTTTTTTCAAAGCTTTAGTTTTCAAAGTAAAGCTTTATTCTAGGGGAATTTATGAAACTTAACATTGTCAGTTTTATTGGAAGCTGAATTGCATTGTAGCACACAACAATTGTAAGGCATACCGTAAACTTTTAGTAAAAGTGTCCAAACAATTAAAATGACCTAAATAACTTATAACAAACTGACGCCAGCGCCACCTACATGCATGTGATCTATTGATGACATTCATCGATGATGTTAAAGGTTTTCCTGTTCAAAGTCAGTGGCGTGCCGTGACATTAGAAGAAAGGGATGCAAATTAAAGGAAATGATAAAAAGACTTACTAACCTTTTTACTTGTAGTGCAGCTCTATTCTTCTATCAACCTTGGCAAACTCGTTTATCACAGACTCATAAAAACTGGGATTTTCAGACATTTCTTTAATAAGTTCTTTTTCAATTGATAAAATTGCTAAGTTAGCTAGCCTCTCCTCACTTGTGGAATTTCTGACAAAGTTTTTAATACGCTTTAGTACAGAAAAACTTCGTTCTACAGACGCACTTGTGGCAGGTATTGTCATCACTAAGTCACATAATTTTGAAACCTCACTATATGCTTCATCCAGTTCAGTTTGTTTAAGAAATGTCAGCATTTTAGAACTAGTATCAGTTTGTATAGAGTGTTGAGAAGCATACAAAACGCACAGTTGGGAATGCAGGGAAAGAAGGTCAAAAAAGTTTGCATAATGTTTTTTTAGACAACTAAAAGCCTCATCCGGGAAACTACAGTCGGCATATTTATTGAAGTTGCATAACTCCACAAATCTTAACTCACAAAGGTTTTTAAATCTTTCTTTAAGCTGCTGGGAAATATTATCTATTATTTCACAAAAAAGTCGATTATAAGATATTTTTGTGTCGCCTACATCGTCAATTCTAATGCGTTTTCTCTTGGGTTCCATCTCTTCTAGATCGCAAGTTTTTTGCCACATGATATCAAATTGCTCCCTCTGTCTGTTGATTTGGACTTCGAATTCGTTAATTTTTTTAATACAAAATCCGATATCATTTGATTTAGTCTGCAATACATCAAATAAAATGTCTGTATAAGGAAATATTTCAGAAAATACTTGAAGCAAAAAATTAAAATCAAAATCTCGTTTGACTAATTCCAAATAACCTCTTGAGGAATTCACAGTTTCAGGGTCCCAATGGTCTTTATGCTCCAAAATGCTTTCAAATAACTCTATTAGGGATTGCCGATATTGGGAAACTGTTTTTACTAACCTCCCATTGTAATTCCATCTGGTGGGAGCTGCTCGAGGGAACCTTTTCTGAAGAATGACATCTAAAGCATGTGTTCTTTTGGAAGATTTAGAAAAAAAAGCAGCCATTCCACTCAAGGTTTGGAAAAATACCTTGCAAGTCTTATTGAGTGCGACTGATTGCGCTAGAACTAAATTTAGCCTGTGTGCAAAGCAGTGCACAAAAATTGCATTTTGAAACCTCTCCTTAACTTTGGTTTGAAGTCCTCCGAGGTGCCCAGCCATTACGGCAGCTCCATCATAACTTTGAGCGACAAGTTTGGAACCACAGTCCAGTTCCTCAACTATATTACAGACATGTCTATATATACCTTCTGCCGATCTATCTGCAGTTATATCCAAAAATCCCCAAAATCGTTCTTGTATTTCACCATTATTTTTGATGTAACGCAGAACAACCGACAATTGACTCAAATTCACGATATCTGTAGTTTCATCTAGAACAATGGAAATAAATTGTGCTTCTTTTATTTCTTCTTTGATTTTTTGCAGAACAATATCTGCCACAGACTTGATCAAATCGTTTTGTATCCTATTCGAGGTACCTCGAAATACAGTAGATTGATCTAAATGACTTTTTAATAGTTCGTCATATTCAGATAAAAAATTTGCTAAATCCACAAAATTTCCCCTATTTACAGATTCATAATTTTCATTATGCCCTCGGAAACTAAGTTCATGTTCTCCAAGGAAACATGTAATATGAATCAGTCTTTTTAATATTTCACGATTTTTTTTTTACTTGCTCATTATGCATGCGGTGACTAACTTTAAGCTGATTATCTAGAGCGTGATCAATTCGGGTTTTCCCAAAAGTCTTTTCTTTTATAACTGCTTCTAAATGCGTTTTACTTAAAATGTGTCGTTTTATAGATTTGTGCAAATTATTTAAATCTGAGTAACCCGTACTATTCCACACGTTTTTATCACTTATATTAAATAATATACACGGAAAACAAAATAATCTTGAGAGAGTTTTACAACCTGTCAACCACTTAAAGGAATCGTATATATTTTTGTTAAAATAACGTGTACATTTCGTCGACTTGGTTTGAATTTCCAGTAATGGTTTTGGCCTGCCTACAGATATAATATTACACTTTTCTTGAAAGTTAAATTTTGAAAATCCACATTTTAATAAATCGCACACAATACAACACTGTCCATTACTGTTTTCCTGACAGGATTGAGAACTTGTACACGGTTGGGGTAAATCTGAATTCATTTCGGAAAAACTACTTAAATTATTATATATACATATACGTAAAATGAAATAAAATATATACATATACGTACAATAAAATTAAAACACGTGAAACACAGCAAAAACTACTCGAATTAATATAAATGCAAAACACGCACTGTATTACAATGTCATATGCGAACTACTCCAGTCGCCTTGCCTATGGTAAGCAAATATAATATTGCATCCAGTATTCTTAAAAATGCCGGTCCAAATCTATAAAAATTGGGCCCGGGCCCCGAGAGTCGACGTGTGCTGCCGAATTGAAGTGATGCTAGCGCGATCAGAATGGTATTGGCTGGTATTGGTTCCAGAAAATGCATCCAAAGATATATTACAATCACCGTGCGCTGTTGCCAGTAATTGCATTCGTAAAGTAATTTAATGATTTCTTGAAAAACGTATTTTATCTTTAAATATTTGAATTATTACAAATCAATTTAAAATATGATTATGTAGTTTTAATTACTGATAATAAATTTTAGATTTTAGGGGATGCAATGCATCCCTTGCATCCATGCACCGCACGCCCCTGTTCAAAGTCAATTTATAGGCGCCACTAACTGGCAATATGGAGGCATATTTGAAATTAACCCAAATTTTTCCTTCCGATATTTTAAATATTATAGCTACTTTTGATCTTACGTTGTGTAAATGTAGACTTAAAACAAAATTTAAAGGGATTTACTTACGAAGTCATTGGTGTATGAATTAACTTTTTTTTAATGAATAATATTTGCAGAATGTTTGTAGAATGATTGAAAATGTTAAAATTATTCGTATTTGGTTCGATTCTTAAGCTCATAAAAAGCTTTTTAAGAAACATGTTGTTTACTCGGGTTCTATGTTATCTGCTCTTGATATGTAAAAGATCACATAGTTATTAAGTATATCTTTTATTTTCAGGAAACAGATTAATATTTAGATCTCTTCGAAATACAGATCGTTTACGTGTTTTAAACTTATCTTGGAATGGAATTACTGCATCGAATGCTGTTAGTTGGCTCTGCAGATATATAAGAAGGTCGAGTGTTTTAGAAGAATTAGATCTAAGCTGGAATAAGTGGGTATTCTTACAATAGTAATCAAGTTAAAAATTTTGAAAACAAGTTCATATTGATATTATTTACATTGAATCTTCTTTCTTCTTATAGCATATTCCTGGTGGTCTAGTGCCTGTTGTTCTTAAATCTGTTGCTATTTGGGCCAGCGGCGATACACGGGGAGGGAAAATGGAGAATTCCTCCCCAACAAGGTCCAAAATGATAGAAAATCTATTATTTATGTCTTTTATGTCGTTTGGGTTTATCTTTTTTGTGTTTTGGTTGCTGTTCATGGGAAGTTTAGTCCTCGTCCACCCAAGGCAAATGTCTAGATTTGCCACTGATTACCCATATACTAGCCAAAATTCTGTAAACTTCACAAAAATAATTGTTTTGCAAATTTGTTATTTGTCAATGGCTACACTGGCAATATTGTATCTCGTTAGAGTTTGGCTAGATAGTCAAAGATGAGTGGCGTGATTTAGTTGTCCAGTTGGAAGCGTTTAATACAATTTCTTACGACTTCCAGTGTTTATTAGTGACTTCAGGTAATTGTTACTAAGGTGATATTTTTTAATTGTCGGAGAGGAACACATCAGTGTCCATTCAACGCAAATTACACCCAGAGCCCAAAACGTGTTGACCGGTCGCCAGGAAAGAGAGCCAAAGCAATTACCCTTCGTGAAAAAAGGTACACATATCAATAAATGGGAAACAAATTAGGTGGTGGTATCACAAAGTCAGGTGTAATGAAAGGTTGTAAACATTATCATAACACTGGAACAACGTAATCAGCAAAAAGAACAGGCAAAAAAACGAAAGTTAGTCGATACGATGCCGCCTATCCTTAGAAAATCGTGGCAGATCTGCAAAAGATATTAATGCTATTGTCAAATCAACTGGTTTACAAATATTAGAACGCAGTATCAAAAGAAAGTTGTGTGAAAATGGATTGCGAGTAAAAACCCTAGAAAGAAGCTGTTTTGATTCCTTTGGTCATATATATATTAAACAAGAAGTTCATACAGAATCTTTATTATAGCAATCAAGAAGCTACAAGTTACAAGTTACATGACCCTGGTCGGAATGGCGGTACCGGATGACATCTGTCTGTCATCGGTCTTCTTCTTTTTTACCTTTCTTCTTCTTTGGGTGCCGTGTCCGTATTCAGACGTTGGCCGTCATCATGTTTACAATTTCCTGAAACCTTTCTCTGTCGGCTGCTGCGCGAAATAATTTTTCTACTGTGTGTTTTTTACCTTTAACATAATATATTACAGAAACCATTCATGGATAAAAAACAGAGGCAAAACGTATTGATTGGACAGAAGAATAGATGAGTAAGGTAATTTGCAATAATGAAACCGGAATCTCGATCTTTGGAAGTGATTAAATGAAGTTTATTCACCACTCAGTGGGGTAATACACTTTGTCCCAGTGTACTTCGGTCACTACGAAGCAGCCTGTGAGTGGGCGTGTATAAGCACGAACGGAATTGGACGTTTGGCGTTAACTACTGCAAGCCAAACTGCTGCCGACTAACAGAGATTTGTTTGAAAGGGATGCTTAATAATGCGTTTCCAGCAGGATAGGATATCCTACCACACTGCCAAGACTTCCATGGAATGGTTGAGAAACTATGACGTTACTATCTTGCCTTGGTCTGGATATAATTCCGGTATGTCTTGTAGCGGAATTGTCATCAGCTACCCCTCTTATACCTTTTAGAACCTTCAAATATCTGTATAAGATTTTTTAGCTTCGTTTCTTTACCGGTCTTATAAGTTTTGATGAAACATCTATCTACTATTTCAATTCGAGGTCACAGTCAAAGACGCACACACCAGCCAGAACGGTTAGGTATTTTGTTTAAAAATTTACATTTTAAGTGTTTTATATAAACACTTAAGACATACATACTAATATTAATAAAATATTTGTTAGTTTTTCAGAGCGAGCTTCGAATTTAATAAAGAGAGCTGTAAATAGAAATAAATCATTGGTCACCGTTAAAATAGGAAACATATAATGTAATTCATACTACTAAGTACATAAGTATACAAATGACACACAGTTTGTGACAAAAAAAGTTTGAAAATATAAATAAAAGTAAATAAACATAGAATATATATGTCTACTGTTCTTGGTGTTTTTATAATTCCATCGTTTAATAGGTAAATGATACAGAATTATAGTTATAACTAGTTTTATTATAAAACTGGACGACCGATTTTGGGCCCAACAGTTTCAGCCCATCTTAAGGTCTAGATAAAAGGTTACTTAACAAATAACTGCACAAGTAGAATTGCTTAAAGTAAGTATCCTATTTACTTGATATCTCATTCGATATTCTGAATAAAGTACGTACTTCCTAGTCATACGAGATACGGGCAACAAAGCACTGGCATATATATAGTGTCATAAAACATTAGTGCCTATAATATTTTGTTTTCATACCTATAGGTTCGTAAGTTCTCGGTAAACTTAAATAAGTTCCTAAATGTACCTCCTTTTTATCTAATTTTTCTAGTCGACATAACGACGTGTTTTCTACCACTTAACCACTTGTTACTTGTTGGTACAAACTAATGGGAGATGGAATTTTTAATATTACACAATATTGACAACATACATATTTTCCAAATTGCGTAATATACTGCAACCAAAATTAATTTCTTATAATATATTGTACATTTTAATATCAAGTATACACGATCAACCAATATATTCCGCAATAATATTGACATTTTATGACCAGCCTAATACAAAATTATTTCTAAATTTCGTGAACCATTGTCTCTAAAACCTTATAAATTCAATAACTCATAATTTCCTTTAATATTTCAACAATTACACCTTGATAGTTACTTAATTAGAAATTAATTTCACCTTTTTAATTAAATAGAATAATATTCTCAATTTAAATATTTGTGTTGGGTATTTTCAGAACTAAAAATATAGTTGACACTGTTGACAGGAGGCAGGCTGAGTAAATCATTCGAAACCATCGATATAATATACTAATCGAAACCACTTGAAAAATAAAATACGTGAATAAGAATAATTTTCTTATCAGTATACAATATTTGAATATTTATTTTCGTTTTACTAAATATACGTTTTTCTTAAGAACAGTGCTTGAAACAACCAATTAATAAACAACAAACTATTCGAATGAAATGGTATCGAATCTAACTACTCGAACAATTAGATAGTTACTGTCTGTTCGATTGTTCCCATCGGTATTTTGATTTAACCTCAAAAATTTTAACGATCTAACTAAAACAGAAAGCAAACAAAGCATATTTCAGTGTTTTAAATAACAGGTAAAATAATATTTTAATGTATATTTGTAAATTTGATATAGTTCCTATTTTAGGTAAAAAATGTCTGACTTTTCGGAGCTGCTGCAAGAAGCTGAAAAGCTCACAAATGAACTTGGAGGAAGCCAAGATCTTCCAAAAGTAGAGAGGTCTATACGACAAGTATTAGAGGCGTCCACTGATTTGTACTCAAGAGTTGCCCAAACTGGAGCCAAAGATATTCAAGCTAATCTTCTGTTGGGTGCAAAAGGAGTGGATCTTCCCAAAATTGCCCAGAAGCTGGAATCACTCAGTACTAAGAGAACATTTGAACCAATTCTCCCTGTTACAGATTTAGATATCTACAATACTTTGGAAAATGAAACCAGAACACAGATTCTCTCAATTTTTGATTCAGGCTATAATAAGATGTTATCATTTACCTATGATATGTCATGGGAACACCAACAATCCGAGTGGAAACAAGAAAAAAGGAAAATTTTAAATGCCATGAGTACATCTTCTGGAGCAGCCATTGAAATAGGTACTAATAAACATTTAACTATAAATATGGATCGTCCTACGTATGCAGCAGGTAATCTAGGTCCTTTGGAGACTATATATGTATCTAAGATAATTGATTATAACAAAGCTGTTAGCAAAGGTGCTCAGAAACCAAATCTTGTTAATATATTCTGTTCTATTGTGAATGAATTTAAAGATCAAAAAGTTACAGACATGTGGGAAATTATCAAATACATGACCCAGCTTCCTCCTTTTCCAAAAACAGATGATCCCATTAAAACCAGAAATACTAATACTTTTATAGATGCTATGGTTAAACAAGCAAAAAGCTATCTGGAAGATAGGTATAAAACATATATGAATAACATTATAAATGATGATCTTGTCCATGCTATTAGAGGAGGAATTCCAGGAACTTACCATTTAGTTCGTAGTTTTGTAGGTTTGAGATTGCAAGGAGAATACTTAGGGTTGCAAGATGGATTTGTAGAAGATAAACCTTTGTGGCCAATGGTCTACTATTGTCTCAGATCAGGAGATATTTCAGCTGCAATATACTGTTTGAAAAAGTCTGGATTGCCTGAATTCAAAGATATGATTTTATTATTGGAAGCCAAATTTAATGGCGCAACTGTAGAAGAAATACATCTCCTAGAGGAGACCATTAAGTTTTCTTACAGGAGACATATTAGAAATGACACTGATCCTTTTAAAAGAATGGTATGGTCCATCTTAGGTTGTTGTGACATAAATGATGAACATTCTGAAGTTGCTAGAACTGCCGATGATTATCTGTGGCTGAAACTTAGCTTAGTAAGGGCTTTGACAGGTGAGGAAGACAGCATTAAGTATAAAGATTTGCAACATGTTATTCTGGAAGAATATGGAGAAACTCACTATAACGCCTTCAATCAACCTCACCTATATTTTCAAATGTTAGCTTTGACAGGCCAGTTTGAAGCAGCATTTGAGTTTTTGTCTAGAACTGAGAAGTACAAAATCCATGGTTTGCATATGGCTTTAGCCTTAAATGAGTTATATATGCTTGGAGGGCCACTTGATACAGGTGCTCCTTTAATGAGTGTTGATCCTATGGATGAAAAACCATCATGCAGATTAAATGTTCCTAGATTTGTCATGCTTTATGTTAAAAAATTTGAACTTGTTTGCCCAAATGAAGCATTACATTACTTTTATTTCCTCAGAAACTACACAAGTCCAGAAGGAGAAAATCTCTTTAAAGTAAGTGTTGCTTATCTAGCTGTTGAAACTAAACAATATGAATTGATATTAGGTAAAGTACAAAGTAATGGTATTAGAACTAAATGCCTCATTGATCAGTTTACATATGCAAATATTACATGTGAATCCATTGCTCAATTAACAGCAGAAAACCTTTTGAAAAAAGGTCTTTTTGAAGAAGCTATTGATTTATTTGATATAGCGAATAATCAAGAAGAAGTTCTTAAACTTAACTGCAGTATTTTATCTAGAACAGTCCACTTAGAAAACGAACCAAATTCATTAAGAAGTAGAATTGCTGAAAAAGCAACAAACTTTGCAAATCGATTTTTGAGAGAAGGTTATAAAACAAGTCCTACTATAGTAAATTCCTTTATCAAATTAAAAGAGTTGATTACATTTTTTAATCAATATCATGACAAAAATTATCCTCAAGCATCGAAGACTCTTCATGATTTGCAATTGGTGCCCCAAAGAATGGATGAAGTTGATGATAGGGTTAAGACTTTTAAAAACTATCATCAAGATCTTTGCAAAGTATTTCCAGATATAGTTCTAGCTGCAATGAATATGATATTTGCGCAATACCAAAAACTGAAATCTAATACTGAATATATACCAAGATTCAGGGATGAGACAATGGAAGTCCAATTAAAAACACTGAGGGAACAAGCAAAATGTTTGACAAATTTTACTGGAATGTTGCCATATAGAATGCCAGGAGATACCAATAGCCGTTTAATGCAAATGGAAATTTTAATGCATTAATTTTTATATATTTTTTTATGATATATTGCTAACTTTCAAAATTAAAATGTACTTTTATAATAAAATTTAGTAAAATCTGTTGTAATTTTTTTATTACATGTCTATACATAAACCTATTTGATTTTTTCTTTGTTAGCAGTATTAATCTCCTTCATAGGCATGTCCTGTCTAAGCACCTTTAACAAGATTTTATTTCGTATCCTACTTCTTCCATGGTCTTACAAATTAGTTATTCTTCATACTGCATCATTATCCTACTAATTGGTAAGTGAATCTTCTGTGCCTTGCTGGTCTGTTTTCATTGTAGTTTGTAAAGTTCCTTAGACTTTCATTTTGCTGGTTTTTTAGTTCATTGAAGATTCCACATGCTATTTCATCCATTTTATCTAGGATATTTGGTTTCTCTGTAAACAAAGCTTTTGGAAACAAATGTGGAGGTGTTCACAGTCTCCCTTAGAATATAGTTTTGGGCTATTTGGACCTTCTTCCTATTGGTTTACAGGTATAGGGGTAGTTTTGACACTATTTTCTCCTATGTAATCATATTTGATTTTATTGGACTGACCTCTGTTGTAATCCTATTTTGGTTTTAAGATTTGAATCTATGGAGGAGGAACATTTTTCAGCATCTAAAATTTTCAACATTTTCTGTGTTATCGAGCTTTGTAATGAAACTTATGTGTGACTTATTATGTTAAAGATTCTGTAAAGTCTGCTGCTTTGTATAGTTTTGTAAGTAATGTTGGTTTGTGACTATTCGAAAATTCTGTAAGCCTTAGTTTGAGTATTTTAAAATCTTTTAACCGGATTTAACGCATTTACTTTTGGTTGACCCTGTATAAGGCGCTGTCTGATTATATATTCCAAAGCTATTTTCTTATGGCATTTTAAAGTAATTACTATTTAAATGGGAATAAGCCACAATTAAAGGTTAAAATACGTTTATTGACGTTTCAATTTCCACTTCGGAAATCGTTCTTAAAATCCAAACATTAGTAGATATATAGTACTAATGTTTGTATTTTGAGAACGATTTCCGAAGTGGAAATTGAAACGTTGATAAACGTATTTTAACCTTTAATTGTGGCTTATTCCCATTTAAATAGTAATTATATATTCCAAGACATGATTTTGAAAACATCTTAAAATGTGCTTATCGGACCACTTTAGTTCTCTATCAATAAAATAATCTTGACTCTTGTTCCTTATTAATTTATGTTTTTCTCTGTATCTGGGTTTTTGTTTCTATATTTTCTTCTTTGTTTCATGATTTTCAGTATTTCTTGATTCAGCCAAGGTTTTCGGTTTTCTTCTTTCTTTGGTAGATTTTCGTTCTGTGTCTTTATATCTTTGATTTTTATCCACCTAATGTTCACATTCTTAGTGTTTTTCAATTCTAATGTAAATCTTTTCATTCCTTGATTTATACAGGTTGAAGCCTCAGCACCTATGTATTTAGTTTATCTTGAGCAACTCAAAAGAGATAATTACAACTATGGAATTATAAAGGCGAAAGATAAAAATAACAACTTTGTAGCGTTATAACTGCTACATTGCCTGCTTTCTTTCTTATGTTAATATATTTCGTTAATTCTATTCTCCAATTTCCGTATCTTCTGTCATAATTCATATTCTTCTATATCCTCCATTGTATCTCTTATTTTTCTATATATTTTCTAGGATATAGATTGTATCAGAATTATGTCGTTACTTATATATCTTCTTTATACATATATATATATATATATATATATATATATATATATATATATATATATATATATATATATATATATATATATATATTAGTATCTACCTTTCCTATTTTCTTAATAATCATCATTTTTATCTTTTACTCAAGTTTCTAAAGAGTGAATTTTATTTTCATCTCTATTTCCGTTACTTTGGAACGAGAGGTCCCATCTTTATTCTCTGTGAGACATTTCTCCTTCCCGTTCGATACAAAAGTCGATATAAAGACTTCTATTTTCTAAAAATGTCGATTTTCTTCATGACTTCTCTAAGAATAGAATAATCAATTGTTGTGTCGTCTCCAGATTTGGAGGTAAGTGTATAATACATTTTATCGATTTCCTAATTCCACCTGTTGTATAAAAATCTTTTTATAATTTTAACTTTGAAAATTCTAAGCTCATTATTTATGATTATGGTATGACATGTAAGTAGATACATATTTTTTTTGGATATCTCTATGTTTTTTATTTTTATATAAAAAACTAGCGATAAGAAATATATAGTTTCTTTAATATAGTATGTAAAAGTTTTACGAATATTTTTATAGTTTTAAATATGAATTTTAAATCCATAATATCTTTTGATTTTAATAATAATTAACTTTTGACAAACTACCATTTTTATATAGGTAGCAATGTTTCTAAATTATCTAGCTTTTTAATAAATATATCTTGTCATTTTTTTTTATTAATATTAGAATATTTCAGTTTTAAAAAAGTAATTACCATTTGTATTAAAGTTATATCCTTACTTTTACTTATTTGCCTATGATAAGTGCATAAATAAGAATTGTTTCTCGACTTGCTTGGGTGAATAATGATAAAATTTTGTTAAATTTGATTGGTCACCTTATTCATCCCCCAAGCAAGGTCTCTCATTTTGGTTTCACCATTTTCTAAAGCAAGGTGTGTTTTTCTTCATTTTAGTCAACCTCCGGGATACATTTCTCAGGTGCGGGTCAAATTCTATTACCATCCAGAAGACCAACCGGCCTGAGAATGGAACCATTATTCCAATAGGAGAGTTGACTCCGAGACAAGGAAATCCAAAACTACCAACATGGCTTGCTAACAATCAGAGCAGAAAAGACCAGGATAAAACTTAGGATTTGGTGACAAAAATTCTTCTTTCATATACCTAATGTAACACTGTAGCAAGAAGTCGAATAATTTTTATTTAAATTTAATACGATACTTAACATTTATTTTTCTGTTTTTTTTTATATCTTAATAAACATGTGTTAATTTAACTGTGTATTGTTTCTTCTTTTTACTTGTTTGTGTGTGTTGCTCCAGAGTAGGCCATATTCACGTCCTGAGTGAGCTAGCCAGGGAGTGTTTCGTATAACGTCTAATGTAGAAATTTTGTAATTGATACATTAGGGGTTTTGACGTTAAAAATTGGTCCCAACGGGAAACGATTTGTCACTCCAACGTTGTTAGTGATGTTAGTCGGGTTGTAGCAGCAAACTAAGGTTTGCGGTTACAGGTTGACAACAGCAGCTCAACGTTGGGATGTTACAAATTGAGCCTCGAAGGGTTACAAATTGGCACCCAATGAATATTTGTTGGCACGTCATAGATTGACGTCCAATGAATGTTCGTTGGAACGTTACAACTTAGAATAGAGAATAAGATAATGTTAAACAATATTGCAGCATCAAAAAAGAAATAGATTATATCAAAACAAACAGAAAAGAAATAATCGAAGTACTCAACGAATTTTCAATAGGAAAAAAGGTTACAGCCCTTTGAAGTTACAAAATAAAAATTGTTTTTTTGCATTATCTCCTAAACTACTTGACATTTTGTAATAAAAATGGACACGTTACTTTCTTGTTCTGAAAGCATTTTTCATATAAAAGAAACAACAAAAACCTAAGCGCACAGAAAAAATTTAAGGGGGGTGTGCAGTCCTAAATCCCCCCAAACTTTTGAGTACGTTCAAATCAAATGAATTTTGTGGCATCATTAGTTTAACACATTATTTTTAAACACTTTTTGACTCTTATCACTTTTTCGAAAAACTAATTTTTTTCTAGTTCATTAAAATTATTTTCTACGGATACAATAAGTACAAACAGTTCCATCAATAATAGTCAATAATCTATCATTTATTGTGTGAATAAGATTAATATTAAAAATGTTGATATTACAATGGCTTACACATTTCAGGAAATGGCAGATATGCATTTAACTTTGGGTAAGTTGGATCAAATTAAATTATGATTTCAATAAACTATCGGGAATATCGTAGGTGAATGTCAAGGAAATAGTGCAGCAGCCGCAAGGCGTTAGACGATTATTTCTGACCATTGATCGTCGTTTACTGGAAACGGGTACATTCCAACCGCAAGTTGCTGGCAATAGTGGTCGTCCAATAATGGATGCAACTGATGAAGACATTTTAGAAATCATTGAAGAAGTCCCTGGAACAAGTACACGGGTAATAGCTGCTCAACTAAATGTTCCTCACGTAAGGGTTTGGAGGCGTTTGGAAGGATCAGCTGCTTAAACTCTATCACTTAACAACGGTTCAAGAGTTATTGGTTAAATATTATCCTAAAATGATTAGATTTTGCGGATTGTTTGTTAATGGAAATCACTCGAAATGTTAATTTTATTATAAATATTTTGTTTACCGACGAGGCTACCTTCAGTAGAAATGGAATAACAAACCATCGTAAGGAGCACATTTGAGCCGACGAAAATCGTCACGCCAAAAAAACGACTCATCACCAAAGGACTTTTAAAGTACATTTTTGGGCAGGAATTGTGGATAACAATCTAATAGGCCCAGTATTTCTTCTTAACAATTTAAATGGTGATAATTATTTGCAGTTCTTGGCAAACGATTTAGAAGGGTATTTGGAAGAAGTGAATATTGCAATATGGCAAAATATATGATTTCTACAAGATGGCGCTCCACCGCATTACAGTAATAAAGTCCGGAAATAACTTTGCATGCAGTATCCTGGTCAGTAGATTGGAAGGAGTCGTGACGCACCTATTTCTTGGCCACCCAGAAGTCCAGATCTTAACCCCATGGACTTTTGCTTTAGGAGGTCTATGAAAGAGAAAGTGTATTCTGTAACAATGGAGGACGAACAACAATTGAGGGTTACAATATTTAAAGCTTCAAATCAATTTCGTCAGAAAAATATGATTGTTAAGCGCATTCAGTTTTCCTTATTAAAACGATATCGGATGGGGGTCATTTTGAACATTTACTGTAATATCATATTTATAGTGGTTATAGACATTTTTTGTACTTGTTAAATCATTTAAGCCATTTATTTAGTTGCACGGAATTTTTTAAAGGTAA